ACCGTAACCGATGCTTGTACCTCATAGTAAGACTCTCTATCCGCGTTCAGTCCGTTCATACTAAAGAGTTCGGACTTGAATACTCCAATCCGGTGCTCTTACTCAATATTCGACGTAACTACACACTCCTACTAATATTAGGTCGAGATCGGGCTCATTTCCTCAGTCCTTGTCAATTGGTATAGTGATTATCGTCTACTTTCTTCTTTTACTTCTATAAAGTCTAAAGAAAGGTTGCGTAGCAAAGACAGAAAAGAGTTCAAACCCGGCTTCCAGCCGAATTGTTCCCTACCCGGCTTTTATAGGCCTTTTCTTTCATTTTAGGAGAATAACATGTCACACGAAGTAGCGGTTCTTAAAGCAAGTAGGCAAGGCGCTCGTGTTTTGTTTCAAGAAGAGAAGAAGGCTTTGTTTTCTTGATGCTATGATGCAGATACCCAGCCGGTGTAGCTAAGGACATAGAAGCAGGAGTTCTTTAGTCTAGTTTGAAAGAACTTGGAGTAGTCTGGTTGGAGTGGTCTAAAAGAAAATTCCCATGACGTGCTATACCAGTCAGTGGGAAAGCAAGCCAGAAGACTGAGAAATATTAGACACTTCTCTTTATTCATAGTACATAGTAGATAGTATATTCATTTCTAATAAGAAATAGGGCATTCAGGGTGGGCTAACAATTCTTACTCATTTCACATCACCACTCAGTTCATCTTCGTTTAGTATCTTTCTCTTTCCCCTTTCTTCATTCAATTTGCTTTCTTCTTCAAATCTTAGCAGGGGTACAAATCTGCCTAATGCAGGGATCCAATCAAATGCTATCTGAAGTTCCAGTTCAAGAATAGAGATTGACATTGACTTGTACCTAGGTTTGCCTACTTAGCCAGATCGCCTTATTAGTTATTAGGTTCGAAAGGTATGAGCAACCGATCCTTTAGAAGGACCTGGTCTACTGTGGGCTAAGCTTATGGGTCCTGGTATTTTCGATCTGATCTTATCAAAGCTTTCACTTCAGACAGCCAATTGAACTCTGTTATTTTGTGAACCTGACCTCTTGTAAGGAAGAGTTTTTTTGATGGAAAAGAATGAGACCTTGATTTCATTATTGCATGAAGAATCAGTTCTAGCGCCTTGGGGTTTGGTCATGATGAAACTCCCCATTCCGCTAACACTCCCAGTGAAAAAAGACAGATGAACGATGCCCCCAGACCTCACGAAAAACCAATGAAAAGGGGGCCTCATTCTGAACAAAAGCGCTTTCTGTCTAAATCCCTGCCGGTCAAAAAGGAAAGTACTGTACTGTCCTAGAGCTTCTCTAGCGCCTCGTTCTCTTCTAGAAAGAGTACCCCTGTAGCAGCCTCATGTCCGGAAAGCAAGCAAGAAAGCGTTACTCTAATATGTCATCCTCTCCGTGGTACTGCTTTGGTTAGGGCATTTACTGTAGCCATCGAAATCGAACATAGGTAAGCATTCTCTGCGGTCTTGAGTACTGGAGCATCGGGCACATGGCCTGTAGTTTGCACCATGGCAAGGAAAGCAATCCAGCCAAGAAAGGTCAAAGTTCGGAGCATTAGCTGAAAAACTCTGGTCTTATCTCAGTCTTGAAGTTGAAGCGAGACTGCTCAAAAGAGGCTTGTGTAAGATCGTCCCAGCTTTTGATCTTGTGCATGTCAAGCTGCGCATACGGCACTGCCTTTCTTTTCTTTAGAAGCTTTATAAGTAAGGGGCAGTAGGACCATCCATCCTACTTTTCGACTTCTGGCATTTCTGGGAATGGGCTTATCTTTTTTTTTTACTGATGAAGTAAAAGAGTCTATATTATAAGCAAGTAAGCTCACAGCTTGCAAGGGCCATGGCTCGATATTCAGCTTTGGCACTCGATTGGTGGACTCCTTCCTTATCTTATGAATTAGCATACCAGGAACGAAAGAAAAAAGAAAGACCGGAGCGGAGGTTGAGCGTCTTGTGTCCGGGAAAGCAGCCCATGCCATCTAGCGCCTTTTCTTTTGGTCCTGGCATCGATCTTGATTGTCGTTGTATTTTGACTTAAGCAGTCTTCTTTTCTTCTAAAGAATGCCTGAAAGAAAAAGCGTACATGATTCTACCTTCTTTCTCTTTCATTCCAGTTTGGTCAGATTCATTTAGTCTTTTGATCTTTCTTATCAATTCGATACTGCGTTTGCTCGCACCTTGTATTATTCCAACTTAGAGGATTGGGCAGGGGAATTGGACAAAAACTCATCTCTTGGAAGCAAAGTTTCATAGCTCGTTCAGAAGCGGAGTATCGCGCTATGGCTCATAAAAGAACAAGATCAGAACGATTTGAGTATGAGTAGTTGAGATGCTTTTTCTATGAAATGGGTATAAGTCCTCGCCTCACCCACCTATGTTTTGCGACAAGGCAATAGCTTTCCTTTTCCCATAACTCGGTTTGGAATGAAAGGAAAACTTCCCACTTTCTTCGAAGAAACTCTCGCCTTTCACTTGTCTAAGTTCAACGCTGCGCGCCTTTCACTTACGCCAGTACACTTCAACGCTTCGCGCCTTTCTTTACAAAAACCTTTTTTCACCCGTTCTTTCTTTCATCTTTCAAAAGACCGATGCTGTCCCATTTTTCTTTTGAAAGAAAAGAGTCAATTAGTTTCTAGCGCCTATGATAAAAAAAAAGAAAAAGAACTGCTGCCGGCCGACCACATGATGAAGACGATTACACTCTCCGTTTGATTCTCTCTCCTACATCATCCATAGAAAACTGAAAAGAGGTAATTATGCTATTCTTTTTTCAAAGGCATTGGATACCGGACATCATTGAAGAGATGCCTAGGATTTGTCCTTATGACAGTGAAGACCTAAAGAGCCTCTCCTAATTCGGAAGTGTATATGATTCGGCCTGCCTGAGAGAAAGAAGCACTTCTGATGCCGCTTAGCACGATCTTCATTCGCGGCTATGATAGTCTTGACACGAAATAGAACCATCCCGCTATATGCCATTTTACTTAGTGAAACTTGACTTGTGCACGGGAAAGAGCCAACAACTAGAAAGGCGATTCTACTTCCCGAGAGTCAAGACAGAACTCTTCCTTACTCAAAAGAAGAAGCTCCTAGATCCTTCTCAATGGCACATCCGCTATCTATCTTGAAGTCGGAAAGATCTAATGGAATCTCTAACAGCAGACGATTCTATCCATCTGAAAGGGATGCCCCCTCTCTTTCTCTACTCACTCACTTGAGAGTCGGGGAAGACTCTTTCGCCACTAAGGCATACCTATAATAGTTGGGAGGGATGGCACTCAATAGTTATTCTCGCACAGCTTTGACTGTAGTTTTGAAAAAGTCAGTTAGGTTTTGTTTTGAGTAGGTAGGACAGGACTAGGGTAGGGTTTCTAACTATGAATCGCATCTCTCAAGAGCGCGACGCCCCTGTTCAATCGAAGTCGAAGTTTTGAGAATGGAAGAACTGGGAAGAGCGGCTTCTAACTCTTTTTATTAGGTAGGGGCCAACCATTGATTTTCTTTTTTAGGAGTTTTCATAACCTAGTGTGAAATCTTTGTCTTTCAGAGTGGAAGTTCGGAACCGCGGTCCCCCTTCCTGCTTCCGTTTGGAAGACCCATAGTAGCCGCAAAGCACCATTCTGCGCACTCAGAAAAAACGATTTGAAAAGTCTTTAATGCTCTGAACTTCTAAAAAAGGAGAGAAGAGAAAGCACTGATTCGATAGAGTAAGGAGAGAATAGCTTAGTCCTTCTGAGTGCTAAGGGGGATGGGGATAATGAATGCAAGCAGGTAAAGTCGGTGGACATAATAGGTATACTAATTCTTTTCTTTGGAGAGAGGAGGCTCACCAATCCATGAGTCATTAGACTCCGAGGATGAATGCGAAATAAGCCCGCATACCCACTCTTCTTTCCCCCGGGTCTCCTCTTGATATGTCACTCCACCTATTTCTTATGCAAGGAAGAATAGAAAAACAATCCTGGATACGAAGACTACGAACCAAAACAAACACAAGACGAAAGAGTAGGGTAGCCGGTTGCCCCCTAATCAAAAATAAAGTGATCTTTCCGTTCGTACTCGATTCGGATTTTGTTTTGAATCATTCCCGATCAAAGACAAATTGTCTTTTTTCTTCCAGTCGTCAATACATGAATAGATTTCTTCTATTCGGAAGTCTATCTCTATGAATAAGAGAATTTACAATAACGCTTCGCGCCTTTTCTTCTTTCAGAATCAAACTATTGCCTTGAACTTGTCTAAGTTCAACTATTGCCTTTTCTTATTTCAGAATCAAAAGAAAGACAAAGACCAGCCCCCCCCAAACAACCCTAGTATACTAAATCGGAAGTGAAATCGTCCTTCCGAGTAGGGAGGATTTGAGTTTCAGAATAAAGAATACATTTGTCGAATCCACTAAAAACTAACAATAAGAAGAAGTGAAAGATCAAAATAGGGTAAAGGCGCTAGAAGATGCAAAGAAAGACAACGGTCGAGATTCGGACCTTTTTTTCTTTGCTTTGAAAACCCAAACGCTCCGCGCCTAAAGTGAAAGTAAAGGGCTGGTCCACGTCTGGCGTAAGCGTCAGAATCAAAGAAAAAATATGTAACTGAACGAATCAAACAATTGCCAATAATATTGGAAACTTTCTTTTCTAGAGCCTGCAAAAAGGGAGAAAAAGAATAGCCGCTTATCTAATCTCGACGAAGACCTTATACCTATTTCCCTACAAAATAAGAATAACTGAACCAACTTGAAGCTTAGCGCCCTCAACCCGGAAGCTGAGCTGGGTTTCTAAACGCCGCTACCAGTGCCCAGCAGCCAGAGTCTTTGGATGGACTTCCTAGGGGATTACAGCAGTCAAAGCATGGACATGACTACCTGTTTGTGGTGGTTGACCGTTTCAGCAAGATGGTGTGCCTGGTTGAAATTGAAAACAGTCACAGGTGAGGAAGCAGCCAAGTTGTTTTTTCAGCATGTTTGGACAAATTTCTTATTGCCTCAAATATTCTAGACGATGGTGATGGTACATCTTCTTCGGGGCTATAATTCCAAGCATCCACAAACTTGGGATGAGAGTTTGCCATCTCTCCAGTTTGCATTCAATCGGGCGATTCACAGTTCCACTCAGAAAGAACCTTTAGAGGTATGGGCTATTTACCGCGGAGTCCCTTTGACCTGTTTGGTGATGAGCCGGAAAGAAGAGGGGGAGGTCATAAGCGTCTATACCGTCAAATCTCTTTTCGACGGAATGAACATATCTGGTAGAATCGTAACCATAGAATACGACCCTAATCAAAATGCATACATTTGTCTAATACACTATGGGGATGGTGAGAAGAGATATATTTGACATCCGGGCTATAATTGGAGATACCATTGTTTCTGGTA